AGTAGTGCTATGGGTGGGGCAAGGGCATGGGAGGCTCTCTTGTACACAATGGACGGAATTTCACTGGTGTTCCCTGCCTTGGTTTTTAGAGAGTGTATGATGGACACAACATCTGCCGGGCTGATTGGTGAAAGGAGAAGAGAGTTTGGATAGCTGCCTGAGAGATATGTGTTAATATGTGTCTGAGTCTGTGGGATTTTACTGGCAAGATTAGCACCAACCGATGAAAAGAAACTATTAAATTCATTTGCCATTTCTAAATCAGTTGACGGTATATCCCCATCCTTGTAGAGTTTTATTTGGTTATGTGAGTGTTGTTTAGTTCCTATGATACTAGAGATAGTTTTCCAAGTGTTTTTCATGTTGCCTTTTGCTTCATTGAATCTATTCACATAATATGCAAGTTTTGCCTTTCTTATGATACTGGTAAGCATTGATGAGTACCTTTTAGCTACTTCCTTTGAAACTAGGCCAATCCTAACTTTCTTTTCATATTCATGTTTCTTGTTGATTGAGTTGAGAATGCCACTTGTGAGCCATGGATTGTTTAATCTTTTGTCAGTTACTTGCTTGGTAAGAAGGGGACAATGAAGGTTGTAGAGGCTTAGAGTTTTGGAGAGGAAGAGGTTAGCTAATAAATTTATATCATGGGTATTATTGAATTCAGAATCCAAGTTAATATTGTAAAGTGCCTCTGTAAGATTGTCTAAAGCTGATTCACTATGTAGCCTAAATGAAAGTTTTTTGCTTTTTGGTGGTGTTATGTCCATGTTCGCTATGAGAAAGGTAGGATAGTGGTCAGTTGTTCTGTCGTAGATTATACCAGATACAAGGGGAGCTGTTATGTTTGTCCATATGTGGTCCAAGGTAGTGGCTGATGTTTGAGTGACTCGGGTAGGTTTGGTGATTGTGGGGATTAGCATACAGGAGTTCATGCTGTTAAGGAAATAGTCAACTTGAGAGCAATTTTATTGACCCAGGTCAATATTAAAGTCTCCTCCCAGAATGATGTGGTTTTTGTTGAGATTGTTGTTTATAATAAGATTCCTTAGGTTGTCTGAGAAAGAAGCTATGTTAGTATTGGGAAATCTATAGATGGCTCCAATAGTCAAAGAGGATTTAATGGATTTAATTGTAAACTGAGCAAAAGTATATTCACAGTAGTCATCTCTGTCACTAATAACACTGTTGCAGATAAATGTATCTCGTTAATATATAGCTGTGCCACCACCTTTTTATTAGGCCTACAGTTATGAATGGCTTTATAACCAGCTAAGTTGTAGAGTTGGGTATAGTCTTTATTTAGCCAAGTTTCTGTTAAAATAATGAACGATAGGTTAGTACCTAGTGCTGTGAGTAATGCTTTTAAATCGTCAAAATGTTTACCAAGTGATCTATCATTTTGGTTATAAACTGATAGACAGGTGCTATTTTGAAGTTTGTTTTTAGCCTGGTGTGCTGTGAAATACTTGCAATAATGATGATCAATGTGCTGGTTGGTGTAGATATGAGACAGAAGATTTTGATCAGGATCAATATCAGTGTGCATAGAGATGCAGAGGGATCACGATACAAGATACACGATAAAGCAAAACACAAGAATAAAAGCAGATAAATAACTTAAGTGATGGGGGTAGGAGGGGCATATTGAGGGGGCAGGAGGGAGGGTAGGAGTGAGGGGGGTAGAAGGGAGGGCAGGAGTGATAGGATTGGGGGAAGGAGTTAGGGGGTAGGTAGGAGGGGGAGGTATGACCTGGCTATATTGGTTATGTCATGTCTAATTGTTGCATGCTGAATGCTCAAAGCCCCTTTCTTTATTCAGTGTTGTCACATACCTCATGTGAGTGTGGATAGGCAAACACTCATCTAGTTAAACTTATCTCGTAGTACTTTCAGAGACCGGTAATTTAGATTGTGTAAGTAGAATCTCCAAATAAATGGATCTTTAAAGCGCATTCCTATTTGGGTTTAAAAGGTTGTACCGAATGAGAAACTCGGATAAAATAGTATAACACGAGCAATGTTGTTGTTCAGTTTGGTTGCTTAAAGCACATACAAGGACTAGACATTACCAGGCATTCTTGTATACCTTACCTTATGCTATAAACATTGCCACAACCCTGGGTTTTATTGATTTAAATGGCCACAGGGAGTCATACAAAATTGCAGGTTATAATGTTATTCGTTTATCCACTGTGGTGACAAGTGGGCTGACTGATGTCCGTTGACACCTGTATCGTGCTTCAGTTTACTCACTAGATCGTCCTGTCTCTGGTCTCGTCTGTAGGAAGTATGTCAAAATAAAATGGATCATTAATAGCATAAGACTTGGGGGTAGGAGAGAGTTGCAGTGATTGTCGTTGCCTTCAGTTGTTCCTAGTATTAGTCGACTTAGTTTTAGAAATATTTGTGTTGGGCAGTGTTGTTGTTTGAAAGTAGATGTGTTTTTGTAAAGAAGGTGGGGGTTCTTCATGGTTGGGTACAATTATCTAAGTGATTATAGATATCTGGTGTATAAATGTTTTGACATTAGAATAACTACCTTCTTTTTGTTAAAGTCAAAAGGTCGCTTGATTAATTGTAGGGTTTTGTTAGTAATTTTTGTGTACTGGAGCAACTTTTGGTTAATGATGGAATCTAGCTCAAAGGTCCTTTATTTCATTGTTCTTCTTCATTTTAATGTGGTAGTTGTGATATGGATTGTTGTGGGTCACCTGTAAGGTTTTGCAATGTTAAATACTGTATATAATAATAAGAATTTGCCAGTCTTGTAACCATTGTTAGAGTTGCCGTAGATCTTTGTAAGGGCTCGATATCATTTGTTCATGTTCTCTGTACCATAAATCTTGGTGTCATCTGCAAAATTGATGTGGTTTGTAATAATTTGTCATTGAGGTATATAAGGTTTAGACCCTTGTGGTATAAGGTTTAGAGCCTTGTGGTACGCTTCGTGCCGTATTTTCCAGTCAAATCTGTTTCAGAGGAAGCTTTAATTTATTTGTTTTAATTAAGCAATCTTTTTATCCTTTATTCCATGTGCTTCATATTTCACTCCTAGCCTTTCATATGGTGCTTTATCAAACAGTGTGTGTTTGAATAGCTGGTTATCAGAAAAAAAATGTGAACAGGTTTGTTTTTAAGAAACCAATGTTTTGTTGATTTGACAAAAATAGTTTCTTCCCTTCTGGACCTTGCAGATGTGAGGTCAAAGTAATTTGAAAGTTTTCTGCTTGGCAGTTTCAAAAATTTGAGTAACATTTGAAATCTATCTAGCGAGTTTAAGTGGCAGTAAGTTTGGCTGTCCATTCATTTAATAGCTTGGATTGAATTCCAGGTATTTGAAGTTTTTTGAATGTTAGTTTGTAAGGCTCTTCCCATTTATGGTGTTTGTTATAGGCAGATAGTTTATATATACACTATCTTGAAATAGTTATCTTCAGCAGTTTGAAACATTTGTGGTAATGGGATGTCTGGTGTGAATAATTTAGTGTTCATTACTAATATTTGGTAGGACACTTCAGTGCAGCAAATATTAACAGATTGGACATGTCTAATGGTTTTGTTTCTTAGAAAATTGAAGGGTTTGGACCATTAGACAATATTGTTAGGAAACACTTTCATGTGTTTCCTATCAAGTTGTGGCATTTAGTAACACACTTGAGGGAAATTTTTTTAGCTAATTTAGTGTAATCTTATCATTGATTAGTGGAAATGACGTAAAAATTTACATCAATGTTCCATAGCTTTAACTTTAGTCTATATTTGTTTTAAGTGAAATTTGTTAGTTAATTTAATCTATTAAAATAATGCCTAAAATTTATCTTTTGCAGTTTAACATAACTATAAAATTAAAAGCTTTGCATACCAAACTATACTTTCAAGTTGTCAAAATTAGTTTTCACTTATAAAATATAATGTTGCTTAAAGGTATAATATTACCTTTTTATATAAAACTTAAACTTAAAGGTAAAATATAAAACTGTTAAGTTTATTAGTTGTCAATTATAAAGCTATAATAAGTTTATATATAACCAAGTTATATTAACTTTTTATATTATAACTTTGTTATACAATAAACTTAAACTTATATTATAGCTTTATATAAATAACTAAGTTTAATATAACTTAAGTTTATAAGTTTATATTGGCTTTATATATTTTGTATTATACCTTTATAATTTATGTTTATTATAGCTTTATATAAACTCATATCAAGTTTTTTAGATATTGTTAGCAAGACTTTGCAATAGAAATTTCCAGCATGATTAAATTATAGCTACTTTCAGGATAAAGTATATAAAGTATTTTCATTAAAAGATTTATTAAATAGTATACAATATAACTAATGTTGACAATTGTATGTTTCAGGTTGAGGTTTCAACTGAAGACTTCAAAGGCCAGGAAAACATCCAGAGTACAAAGGACAACAACCACCTGTAAAAGAAAAATAAAGTACATCAAACAGGGACACTCATTTTATTAACACTAACACATACAAATTACTACAAAAACCCCTAAGTCCCAATCTTTTAAGATTGGCTCAGCAAGGCCTACCCCTTACTTCCATTTTGAGGCAGGACTTGTTGGCCGAAACAGTGGAACACATCTTTTGGTTTAGTGCCCTCAACATGATGTACATAGGCTTCACAAGAAGCCTATGTACATCATGTTCCAGGCACTAAACCTCTAGATGTATCCACTCTTTCAGTCAACAAGCCCTGTAGTTATTAACAATGTTTGCACATTGTTAAGGGTCCCTACACCTAAGCAATTCTAGTCCATCTATTGGATGGGTAGTAGAGCAGGGCTCTGAAAAAGCCAAGCCAGGGAAATCTGCAGGACTGCCTGGTCCCCTTCTATGAAATGGGGTAGGATCAGTACAAACTGCATCAATCCCTGCAGGTGGTAACAGTAGGACTTTGGTACACATCTATAAATGGACTAGATAAAAAAGAAAGCAAGTTAATTATTTGATATAGCTAAAACATTTAATTCAACATACCAGTTTATTAGAATGTGCAGAGTAGAACAGCCACACTTCTTAAGCCAGTCAATTCCTCAATGCCATCATAATCTTCATTACCACCTGAAACATTTAACCTAATTAGCTTATAAATCTTGTATTACAAGTTGCTTTGCAAACTCAAATGGCTAATGTTCCTTATAATGTTAACATTTTATTCTCACTAATGCTAATCAAGCAAAAGATTTAGATATGGCTACTCAAATCATTTAAGTAACAAGTTTAAAGTAGAGAAAGATAATTTTTACTTTACATTATCTACATGCAACCACTCATGCCTTATTTTTCTATTTAAAATATTCACCAACACTTACCCCATTCTGAATGTCAAGCAATCAACACCTTCAAACTCTACGATGAACAGCTGGACTTCCCAATTCTTATTCTGAAAGAAAAAACCTATTTAAACTAGTTACATTAAAAAAAATATGAGGTACAGTTACTAGTCAATATTTATTTTCTCTTTTACCATTATTTTTTGTTGAACTTTTAATTATAAACAAATCCATGAGGTCAATTTACCTCCCTGTTGCAATTTGTTTACAATGTCATGGTACATCTGCAATCTTCTGACATTTGAACCCTCATCACAGCCCTTGTAGATTTGGTCATTTGATGCATCACACTATTGGGTGTGCAATTTATAGATGAAAAACTTTTAGCCAATTATTTAAGAACTAAGTAACTGAACACAAAGTTAAGCAAACCAATTACCATTTAAATCAATATTTCTAAATACCCTCAATTCTTAAATTGAATAATATGTAAAGTGACCATTTTCAAATTTCTTTATGCTATTCAAAACAATTCCTGCAAGGACTAAACTTTTATTGTACCCACTTGTCAAGGCCTAGAACAGTTTTTATCCCCCATTTCCAGGCCCGTTCAATTTTTACCTAAATATTTAAATACTACTAATTATAGCAGTAAACTTAACTCTGTCAGAATGATAGAGGGCAAAAGTATCTTGGCAATTTCAGGCCTTTAGTCCCCCCACAAAGTAACCCATTACAGCTGACTTAACTCACAGGGGCATAGGGTGAAAAACTCAGCCCAGGATTCAACCTGGGACCACATCTCCAGTGTGCTGTCTGCTCAGCTGGCCAGCCCCTGTGCTACTTTCTGTAGCATACAAGGACCCTCCACAACCTGTCAATGAAACATTTAATATGGTTAATAAATTTTTTCCCCACAGCAATGTTTAAACTTAAATGTTTCCCCTTTTCAAAATACACTAATAAATTACCTACTTCCCCCACCCCATCTTTCATTTATTGATTCTAGAACAAAGCCCTTTTAAGTAACAATTTAAAACCTAGCCTACTGAAATCTGGTTTTCAATTATAATTTAAAGTTAGGATTCCCCCCTGCATCCCCCATATTGGTAATACAATTTATATAGCTAAAACATGTAATTCAACATACCAGCTCCATAGATGTGCCGACCAGAACAGCCACGCGCTGCTTTGATACCATTGTAATCTAGCAAAGCACCTGAAACATTTAACCAAATTAGCTTATAAATACAGATTTTTACTTAAGTTTCTTTGCAAATTCACAATGGTAGTGTTCCTTTAAAAATCTGCTAAAATTTTAAGTTTTATTAATGCTAATCAAGCAAATAAAAAGGTAGGTATGGCTATTCAAGCTAAGTTTCTTTAGTACATTTAAGTGGAGAAAGATACTTCAGACATAATGCTACATTGTGTAACTTAACTATTTAATATAATGCAAATCTTTAATTTATTATTACTACCACACTCGCCTGATTCTGAATTGTCGAGCAATCAACACCTTCAAACTCTAGGATGTTCTGGACTTCCTAATCTATAGTCTGAAAGAAAAAACATTTAAACTTCAATTATATTACAATTAGATGAAGTACAGTTACCAGTTATTTTTTTTGTGTTTTAACTTTACTTTCAATTATGAAATTCTGTTACAAACATTTATATGAACAAATCCATGAGGGTTCAAACCAAGCCATTACGTCAGTAGACCTCCCAGTTGCAATTTTTACCATATCATGGCACAGTCGATTAAGGTGCATCTGCAATCCTCCAACATCCTAACCCTCATCACAGCCCTTTTAGATTTGTTCATTTGATGCATCACACCGTTTCATCTATAAATTTCAAACTTTTAACCAAACAATTAACTGAACACAAAGTTAAGAAGACTAAATATAAATAATTATAAATACTCTACTTAAGATTTTATTCTATTTAAAATTACAATTTTTATGCTACTCAAAGCAATTCCTGCAACTACACTGATATTGTACCCACTTGTCAAGGCCTAGAACTAGTTTTTATTTTCTCCATTTACAGGCCCCTACATAATTTTTTACTTTAATATTTAAAAACTAGCTATTAAACTAATTATCAATAAACTTACTTTGCCCTCTAATTCTGACAAAACCATGCTACTTTCAGCAATTTCTTTGTACTCGGTTCCTGATGTTAGAAGGACCCTTCACAGCCTGTCAATGGAACATTAAATATGATTATTAAATTTTTTTAGCACAGCAATTTGTTTTTAAAATTAAATATTCACCTTAAGACTACATTAATAAATAAGCTACTTCCCCCCCCCCCCCTTACCCCATCTTTTTTAAGTTACAGAACAAACCCCTTTTAAGTAAAAATTAAAAGCTACAAAAATTTTATTTTCAAATAAAATTTATAGTTAGGATTCCCCCCCCATATTTTTACTACAATTTATATAGCTAACATGCAAGTCAACTTACCAGCTTCATAGATGTGCACATTAGAACAGCCACACTTTACCCAGTCACTACTTTGATACCATTGTAATCTTCATTAGAACCTGAAACAGGTAACCAAATTGGCTTGTAAATTCTGTATTGAGCTTATGCAAGTTGCTTTGCAAATTTACAATGGATAATGTTCCTTTAAAATCTACCAAAATGTTAATATTGTCAAATTCTCACTAATGCTAATCAAGCACAAAAATTAGTCTGTATTAAACAAATAGTTTGAGTAGTCATGAGTACATTAAAGTGGAGAAAGATACTTCAGACTTGTGGCAATTTTGACTTCACATCTACATGCAACCATCATTTACATGATCTTTAGCCATAATGCTACAGTGTTTAAAACCAATATTTAATACAATGCAAACATGTTTAATATTTACCACTTGCCTGATTCTGAATGTCAAACAATCAACACCTTCAAAGTCTAGGATGACGTTCTGGACTTCCAATCCATATTCTGAAAGAAAAAGCCTATTTAAACTTCAATTTTTTTTTTAACAAACTAGCAGAACCTGGCCACAGCAACCTTCTGTCCCCCAGTCTTCCCCCCTCATCGTCTCTTCTGTCTTCCAACCATTCTCCATTTCCCTATCCCCTCATCCTTCCACCATTACCCCCTCCCTCTTCCCTTTGTCCTTCCCATTCTCTCACTTCCGTCCCCTCGCTATCCCCACCATTCCCAACTCCCTCGTCCAATGCCTTCCCATGTTGTGCGATTTTCCTGATCAGAAAACTTGGAACAATCAAGTGATCTGATGTTCATCACCAAAATATAAGTTAAAAATGAAATGAAAAAGTAACAAAAAAAGTACACGAAATGAACAGTATGGTAAACATTGCTCATTTCTAATGCAATTCACAAAATAAAGCAAAATTAATAATCTAAACTTATGAAAATTCAATTTATCAATGCAATCATATTTAAATTGAATTGTAACATCTAGTATAGCACGTGTTTCTCTTACATTCAACAGATGGCACTTTTTCAAGAAAAGCATAGTTTCTGCTTAGAACAGGATTTGTTCAAAGCATAGCTTTACCTATAACAGGTGTGGCATCTATATTTATACCTACAAAATGAATGTTATGGTAAACACAGCTCTATTGCCACAATGTCACAAAACACTTAAAATTTATTTAAGATTTAGATTTATTTAATTATATCAATGCAATCTGAAACATTGAAATGGAATTTGACAGTATAGTTAAATGTTATGTGCAACAGATGGTCCCCTTTTTCAAAAATACATTTTTTTACCTGTCACAGGGGTGGCATCTATATAGTAGGTATATGAAAAGATACCCATATTCGAATGGAACGTTGTGTCAGTTTCAAAGCAATCGGTGAAGAACTTTGGGAGATTACAGTGTGTGGCTCTTACATCCAACAGATGGCAATGTTAAAAATTAAACAAATTCCTCTAGTCACAGGTAAGGCATGTATATAGAAACATGCCTATTCGAATGCAACATCTTGTCAAAACTTCAAAGTAACTGGTAAAGAGATTCCAAAGATCGTCAAAAATCACACTGAAAAACAATTTAAACAAAAGTTTCTCCCGTCACAGACGTGACATCAATATAATATGTATATAAAACCTACTCTGATGCAAATGTAACATTGAAATTTTAACAAAGCAATCTGAAGAACTATTGGATATTAGCAATTTTTAACAAATTTACATTTTTATTTATAGATAAGTACAGTTACTAGTCTATTTCTCTACCATCATTAGTTTTTACTTTCAGTTATGAACACAAGTTAAACATTTAGATGAACAAATCCATGAGGGTTCAAAGCTACTGCAGGAGCCATGAGTAAGTAATTATCAAAAGGCACCAAACCAGGAATGCAGGAGCTGTAAGGTCAGTAGGCCTCCCAGTTTAAGTTTGTCATGGCAGTCAATTATGGTACATCCACAATCTGACATTTGAACCCTCACAGCCCTTGTGGATTTATTTGACGCATCACTTGTGATTGTCTATAAATTGCACAAACTCAAATAATTTGCAACCAAACTAACCGAACACAAAACAAACCAATTAACACTTAAATTATAAATACCCTAAACATCAGATTTTATTCTATTTAAGAGTAAACACCCCACTTTACAAATTAAAATCCTTTTTATGCTATTCAAAGCAATTCTTCTAACTAAATTTTTGTACCCACTTGTCAAGGTCTAGAACTTATTTTCCTATTTCCAGGCCCCTTCACAATTTTACACAATTTTTACCTAAATATTTAAGAGCTACTCGTTAAACTAATCATCAGTAAACTTACTTTTGCCCTCTATTTCTGACATACAACATGCTACTTCCTGTAGCATCACTAGAGGCAATTTTTCTGTACGCTGTTCCTGAAGTTGTTTCGAAGGACCCTCCACAACCTGTCAATGGAACATTAAAGTTTGTTACTTTTTTGCACAGCTTTTTTTTTTAACTTTGCCATTTTAAAACTACACTAACAAATTTCCTACCTCCCCTCACCCCATCTTTCATTCATTTAAATTATAGAACAAAGTCCTTTGAAGTACACATTTTTTTTTGTAGCAAACATTTAATTTTCAAATTAAATCTTGTCAGGATTCCCCCCCTCCCCACATCCCATATTGTTACTACAATACACCATTAGTCTTTGGGAATATTATGCATCTCTAACATTGCAGGCAAACCAAGCTTTAGCTCTTAAGTTAATTATAAAAGGCAACAAAATGTCACAGTTCTTACATTCTTTTACACCCACTAGCATGTGTAGCATTTCAGGTAACTGTCCTACGTTCCCCAGAACACAACTGGGAATTTGAACCAATCATCACTTAAATGATTACCCAACAGTTCTCATAGTATACACACAAGAGATTTGTACAGTAGAATAATACATTTATACAACAAAGGATAGTTAAAAACTTACACCCAAGATATATGCTAAATCACAAACACTTGCTTTGGGATCAAAGGGATTTTCTATTTTAAGAAACAAAACCACACAGAGATCTAAATGTATTAACCAATTACTTGTTGCCACGTGTAAAGAGCTTAAACCATCACAAACCTCATTACGTAGAAGACCTACCATGACTATCTACAATATGGGCAATGACAATCTAACATGTTAGATTAACATTATTATCTTTCAACTTATAGCTTACGTACACCTACATTAAATATCCCAATATACATAAATTCGGGTACAGACTTCCTATAATGCCCGATACTTTAAAATTTATGTTGCCAACTATTACCAATAAGTAGGTTATAACTTATTTAAACTACCTTCAAATACAAACATTTGCTATAACAAAGTACCAAGATTAAAAAGCAATATAACCACCCATTCACCAAGTTAATCCTTATTTTAACAATGTACAATATTACAACTACACCAATATTTGCCAAAACATTTATTCAACTTTCAAAACTTCAATGCAACAGGAATCTATTTTATCACAATGTGGAGCAGTGATCATTCAATCCCATGCACCACACTAGTGCTTACAAACAACTACATTCAAGTAGGTTAAAAAAATAAACCTTGCATCGCCTTTTTACTCAAAAATCATCAACGGCCCATGACACCCATATAATTATAATCTAGTAACTAGTCAATTAGTCTCAAGACAGAGTGTCAAGAACATTAATACCCATTCCAAAACGGCCAAAAATTTTTTTACCCAAGAGCAACAGGTCTCATACCACGATTCATCACTATTTAAGGTAAGTGACTAACTTAAGGGACCATACTCGGTTATATGCTACCACAAAAATTTAATTTTGATACATTATAGGGGTCATTGCAGATTATGCTTCTCCACCCATCAAGTGGAAAAAATCTGAATTAACAACTTTGTACTTATTAAAACTTTCTATTATTAAACTTACAAATTATGCACTTAGTTACTTTAATATTCAAACTGCTGTAAGTATAACAGGCCATATTACCAAGTTTATGAAACATACAATAACAGCTCATTTCTACACATAATTACACCAAATACACAAGTATACAAATCCTCAAAATTACTACCATATAATCTTATATTACTGACCATGCAAGGAAAAGTTGCAAGAATCTAGTAACGATGCACTCTTCAATCTTTTATTTACCACTAATCTCACCCACTTAGTCTGACATTTAACAGCTGCTGTTATGTTTTGTGCAATGAACATTTTACCACAAACAATTTCTATTATGCAACATGCTAGCTCAATTTTTTTTTTTTACTAAATTACCAATAAGGACAAGTTACACATTTCCAGTTTTCCCATACAATGATTCACCCAAGATCCAGCTATGTACTTCATTGACAATGGAGTATATCGACTATACAGTACACACTATTCTCCACTATACAGGCTCAATCATTATAGTAGCCAGTCTCTTCTAACTAGCAAAATTAGTTTCTTTACCTGTAACAAAAAAAAAAATAAAAAACTTATACATCCTAGAGCCTTGGGTTACCTAGATATTAAAATTTTTAACCATTCCAACAGGTATGGCTACACTGTTAATCAACTTTCTGGAAATAATTGCTACACTAGCAAATTCTACCATTCAAGATTGTGGACCATAATCAATTATTAAACTCTTAGCACACATTAACTGCACCACTGATTTTAATTATTGACAATTTACTTTACAATTTATACAATTGTGAAAATGTTTCCTAACCATGCCTAGATACTATCTTATAAACTTTATTGTTTGGACCTATAAGGCACACATTCATCAATGCTATATTACAATAGGCACAGCCTACAACCTTTAAAATATTCTGATAAATACCTAGAGGTTTTTTATGCAACTCAACTAAGGACCATACAAGCCTACACTACAGTTTCCAATTTCATTTACTCTAGTTAAACTAATTTTTTACAACTTTTCCAAGACCAAAGCTGGATAATGCACCTCGTATGCTGCCAATCTCTTGGTAAAGAGATTCAAAGATTACCAATATGAAAAACTTTGTAGCATTGACAATTAAAACTAGTTACACAATAGTAACAAAGAGACTTATTCAACTACATAAATTATCTTTCTGCAACTACCAAGCCAATTCTTTAATTTAAACCAAGTTTAACAGAACAAATAATTACCTACTTTGCCAAGTGAAACTTTATTTTTCAACATCTAAAAAGGTCTGCACAATTTTATACACTACCCTCAAAGAACAAGAATGGCAATCCATCAAGTTGCTTACGACATCAAGATATAATATTTAAGTATTATGGGAATAACTACAGCTTTCCCAAATATCATTTGCACGTACAATGAACTACAGTATGGATTATATAGGTAGTTTAACCTAGAAACTAAGCAAAGCCTTTTGGAACATGTAGACTATATAATATCCTAACCTACAGAGGCTTCAAATTCTGAAAGAAACTACTCAAAAATACCACAAAGTACACAAACCTACACTTTGCAACCTTTAGGACAATTATACAAGGACATTCAACACGGCAGAAGATTGTTACCAAAAACCATTTTGACCAAACTACATACTAGACGATAACCAAGTAACATAACTGGCTCCACTTTAGCGTGTCATCTGATAAACACAAACATTAAATTCACTATTATATCAGTATTCAACTTTATATACCAAAATATTCATGGATGTTAAGCAGGTGTACAGGATGAATCAAGATATACCATAAGGAATACAAGTTGAAAAGCCAAAAAATTTAACACAGGTGTGGATATTTAAATGCAAAGTTAACCCTTAAACCACATCATTTGACAATTTAACAAGTTTTAAAACTATTTTTGCATAATCAACTAGGCAAGGGCTCCAACTGTCTAAATGATTAGAGCATAACTTTCAAAAGATTCTAAATTATTAAATTAATAATTAAAATTATTAATTCTAATATAATTCTATATAATTCTAATAGATTCTAATTATAATTTAATATTCAGAACTTTAAATTTTCAATTCAGAATATAAAATGAATTATTATTTTAACATTCTCAGAACATAAAGTTAGAATATAGGTTCAGTATATTTTCTGTAAAAAAAAATAGTCAATAGGGCATTTGAATTGTGGCAATTTTAGACTAAAAAATTACAACTCCAAATTTATAAAACTTAAGAAAAATCCAGTCCGATGGAATTTTATAACAGACAGCCTAGCACAATCAAAATAGTGATAATCGGAAAACTCAAACACGAAACCGAAACCAGAGATAATTGAAGTTATGTAATTATAGAACACTTTAATTTAACCATGTTTTAATAAACATTCATACTCTAATGTGAGAGTTCTAGGTCAATGTGTTTAAATTTAAAGTCTAGAAAAAAAAATAAAAACCAGGGATAATTCTGATTTAGGGGATATCTTTAGGGTATACTTTATACAAGTGAAAAAGCCCTAATGGTCTAATCAAACTAACCTAAAGAGAATACCTGCAGTTTTAAAGCAGAAAAAGAAGTTGCCAAAAATATCAAGTCCAAAGTTTTGATCAATTTATTTGTTTACCAATTTCATTCTATCCACAGTTATGAAAAAATGTATTTTCAAGGATGTAAAGGTTACAACAAAAACTACAAAATTTCCATAAAAAATTTTTTGGAACAATATGAAAGTAACATTAACATTGTCCAATGTATTTATGGTGTATGATTATTATTTGTGCCATGTATTACTTTATGATAAGGGGCCTCGTAGCCTGGTGGATAGCGCGCAGCACTCTTAATTCTGTGGCGCGGGTTCGATTCCCGCACGAGGGAGAAACAAATGGGCAAAGTTTCTTTCACCCTGAATGCCCCTGTTACCTAACAGTAAATAGGTACCTGGGAGTTAGTCAGCTGTCACGGGCTGCTTCCTGGGGGTGGAGGCCTGGTCGAGGACCGGGCCGCGGGGACACTAAAAAAAAGCCCCGAAATCATCTCAAGATAACGTCTCAAGATAAGATGATAAAGGCCCCAACTGCATATCCACTTTGTGGACACTACTATTCTTCGTGTCTAGAACAGATGCTTGCATCTATTACTGCATAATCTCAGTTTTGGTTATTAGAAGCTGTTCATAAAATTTTTACCAAAATTACTCTAAAATCAATTTCCAAAAATATGAAAGTTTCACAACACTTTCGCCAATAAGTTGGAGATTTAACATTGACGTTATTTACACAATTCAAATATTTTTGACTACCGTTCCCTATATTTGCAGTAATATGCACAGTTTAAAGGTCAGGGGAACTTTCCATGAAATGTGCCTCTACTTTCAATACTTTTCTAGATTGGATTTTTTGCAAATGTTGCTCCCATTTATACAGGCCACAAATAGCACAAAACTACCATCAAATCCAGTAGACTTTATATCTGTAAAGTCAGATTCATTCACCATTTACAGGAATTTTAAAGGAGTAGGGCCCCCACCCCCAAAGAAAATTTAAATACTGAAAATAAGGCCGTCATGTAAGCTTTACTTTCCAAATTAACCAGTCAACATCAAAAGGACTAAACATTGATTTTTTGAAGCTTTTCACAACCTACCACATGACTTGCCAGGAAACAAAACATTAAATAACCATTACAATGAATAAAGAACCTAGTTGAAACAGCAGTGAAAGGATCTAAAATTACTAAACATGTCAGGAGAGAACCCAATAATCTATTTTTTGGCCCGACTGTCATAAGGATATTATGACTTGTTTGAGTAAAGTGAAGGCTACGAGACCTTATAAGAAACACACGAACAAGTAGTTTGAAGACTGGCAAGTTACTTTAAAACTGAAGCATATGTGCAGCATAATCCATAAATGCCAAAATATTACCTTGCAGTAGATCGATAAGGACCAAGTCAGTCCTTGAATCAAAATTGCACAAGTAGGAGCTACAGTTTTTTTTTTTTTTTTTTTTTTAAACTAGTTATACAACCTTATTAATCTCATTCACCCAACTAATACCAAAGCATGGACACTTTCTAATTTTCTGCTTTAGAAGATATTTAATCCCAGCCAATAATTCATTCTTTAACAAAACTATGCTGCTGTTTAAGATAAAGCTTTTCAAGCTATGGGAAAGTAAAAGAGGGAGGGGAACTGAAACTGCCAGGGAAGGGGAAGTGTGATTAAGATTCTGTACCTTTAACATGTTAGTGTAGAAGGTCTCCCACAGGATCTGGGCCTTGTCCACTGATGTTGCCCAAAGTTGGTGCCAGCTGCTGGTTAGAAAGGGTGCCATACGCTACTTCAGGCAACTATTTCACTCTTCGCCACAGATCACATCAGCTCAGGACCTCATTACCATGTTGGGAGGCAATTGAAGACTAGCCAGTCAACGCCCTGGGCTGGAGAGCTGCAGCAGCCGAAGGAGAATTTACCACCTGCAAATTTATTTATTTATTTATGCATATACAAGAATGTACACAAGGAATGCGAGGATACAAATACTGTATGGTAATTACAGTCTTGTAAAGCCAATATTGACGTTATTTACACAATTCAAATATTTTTGACTACCGTTCCCTATATTTGCAGCAATATGCACGCGCAGCGTTTCGGGCAGGTCCTTAATCTAAGAAAATTTTAAAGAGGTAAATACTTGCAAAATTTATAGACAAAAATTATAACATTACATGAAATGAAAAAAAAAGACTAGAGAAAATTGTAGGTACAGTATATTAAAGCACATAGGTAGCTAAGATTGATTGCAATGACAGCTTGAATGGTAGTTGACAAAAATTGGTAGTCACAATACAGCATATGGCTAGCACAAAAGACAGCAATGAACACAATAAGGTTGTTTGATATTACATAAAAATTAGGAGATTGGGCAACACTAGGTACAGAGCAAATTTAAAGCTCAGTGTAGGAAACTAAGATGAAGTTAGGTACTTTTTGGTTTTGCTTTTAAATAAGGCAAAAGTTCGTTTTTCAATTCACTAGGGAGCGAGTTCCATAGACTAGGTCCCTTAATTTGCATAGAGTGTTTACACAGATTACGTTTGACCCTGGGGATATCAAAGATATTTATTTCTGGTGTGGTGATAATGGGTCCTATTACATCTGTCCAGGGAGAGTTTCAGAGCATGGTTTGCATTTAAGAACAGGGTTTTGTAAATGTAGTTGACAAAGTGTGTGGAGGGAGTTAATATTTAGCAAGTTTAGGGATTTAAACAAGGGAGCCGAGTGTTGTCTGAAAGCAGAGTTAGTTATTATTCTGATAGATTTTTGCTGTGTGATGGGCTTAAGGTGGTTTGCAGTGGGAGAACCCCCCCATGCACAGATACCATAATTAAGATAGGGGTAGATTAGTGCACAATATAGTGAGAGGAGAGCAGAGTTAGGAACATAATATCCTATTTTGGAGAGTATACCAACTGTCTTAGACTTTCTTAGTTATGTGTTGAATGTGGGTGTTGAAGTCGAGTCTTGTTTAGGAATAGGCCAAGAAACTTTCCATCATTTTTATTACTGATGTTAATGTTGTCTATCTGTAGCTGAATTGCATTTGATGATTTGCTTCCAAATAAGATGTAGCAAGTCTTTTCGATGTTTAATGTTAGTTTGTTCATCGACATCCATAAGTGGACTTTTTTAATTCATTATTCACAACATTTAGTGTTGACTGATGTCATTGACACCTGTATCGTGCTTCAGTTCAGTTTACTCACTAGATCGTCCTGTCTCTGGTCTCGTCTGTAGGAAGTATGTCAAAATAAAATGGATCATTAATAGCATAAGACTTGGGGGTAGGAGAGAGTTGCAGTGTTTGTCGTGGCCTTCAGTTGTTCCTAGTATTAGTCGACTTAGTTTTAGAAATATTTGTGTTGGGCAGTGTTGTTGTTTGAAAGTAGATGTGTTTTTGTAAAGAAGGTGGGGTTCTTCATGGTTGGGTACAATTATCTAAGTGATTATAGATATCTGGTGTATAAATGTTTTGACATTAGAATAACTACCTTCTTTTTGTTAAAGTCAAAAGGTCGCTTGATTAATTGTAGGGTTTTGTTAGTAATTTTTGTGTAATGGAGCAACTTTTGGTTAATGATGGAATCTAGCTCAAAGGTCCTTTATTTCATTGTTCTTCTTCATTTTAATGTGGTAGTTGTGATATGGATTGTTGTGGGTCACCTGTAAGGTTTTGCAATGTTAAATACTGTATATAATAATAAGAATTTGCCAGTCTTTTAACCATTTTAGAGTTGCCGTAGATCTTTGTAAGGGCTCGATATCATTTGTTCATGTTCTCTGTACCATAAATCTTGGTGTCATCTGCAAAATTGATGTGGTTTGTAATATTTGTCATTGAGGTTATAAGGTTTAGACCCTTGTGGTATAAGGTTTAGAGCCTTGTGGTACGCTTCGTGCCGTATTTTCCAGTCAAATCTGTTTCAGAGGAAGCTTTAATTTATTTGTTTTAATTAAGCAATCTTTTATCCTTTATTCCATGTGCTTCATATTTCACTCCTAGCCTTTCATATGGTGCTTTATCAAACAGTGTGTGTTTGAATAGCTGGTTATCAGAAAAAAAATGTGAACAGGTTTGTTTTTAAGAAACCAATGTTTTGTTGATTTGACAAAATAGTTTTTTTCCCTTCTGGACCTTGCAGATGTGAGGTCAAATTAATTTGAAAGTTTTCTGCTTGGCAGTTTCAAAAATTGAGTAACATTTGAAATCTATCTAGCGAGTTTAAGTGGCAGTAAGTTTGGCTGTCAATTCATTTAATAGCTTGGATTGAATTCCAGGTATTTGAAGTTTTTGAATGTTAGTTTGTAAGGCTCTTCCCATTTATGGTGTTTGTTATAGGCAGATAGTTTTATATACACTATCTTGAAATAGTTATCTTCAGCAGTTTGAAACATTTGTGGTAATGGGATGTCTGGTGTGAATAATTTAGTGTTCATTACTAATATTTGGTAGGACACTTCAGTGCAGCAAATATTAATTGGACATGTCTAATGGTTTTGTTCTTTTCTTCTTAGACTATTAGAAAATTGAAGGGTTTGGTACCATTAGACAATATTGTTAGGAAACACTTTCATGTGTTTCCTATCAAGTTGTGGCATTTAGTAACACACTTGAGGGAAATTTTTTTAGCTAATTTAGTGTAATCTTATCATTGATTAGTGGAAATGACGTAAAAATTTACATCAATGTTCCATAGCTTTAACTTTAGTCTATATTTGTTTTAAGTGAAATTTGTTAGTTAATTTAATCTATTAAAATAATGCCTAAAATTTATCTTTTGCAGTTTAACATAACTATAAAATTAAAAGCTTTGCATACAAATACTTTCAAGTTGTCAAAATTAGTTTTCACTTATAAAATATAATGTTGCTTAAAGGTATAATATTACCTTTTTATATAAAACTTAAACTTTAAGGTAAAATATAAACTGTTAAGTTTATTAGTTTGTCAATTATAAAGCTATAATAAGTTTATATATAACCAAGTTATATTAACTTTTTATATTATAACTTTGTTATACAATAAACTTAAACTTTATTAAGCTTTATATAAATAACTAAGTTAATATACTTAAGTTTATAAGTTTATATTGGCTTTATATATTTTGTATTATACCTTTATAATTATGTTTATTATAGCTTTATATAAACTCATATCAAGTTTTTTAGATATTGTTAGCAAGACTTTGCAATAGAAATTTCCAGCATGATTAAATTATAGCTACTTTCAGGATAAAGTATATAAAGTATTTTCATTAAAAGATTTATTAAATAGTATACAATATAACTAATGTTGACAATTGTATGTTTCAGGTTGAGGTTTCAACTGCAGACTTCAAAGGCCAGGAAAACATCCAGAGTACAAAGGACAACAACCACCTGTAAAAGAAAAATAAAGTACATCAAACAGGGACACTCATTTTATTAACACTAACACATACAAATTACTACAAAAACCCTAAGTCCCAATCTTTTAAGATTGGCTCAGCAAGGCCTACCCCTTACTTCCATTTTGAGGCAGGACTTGTTGGCCGAAACAGTGGAACACATCTTTTGTTTTAGTGCCCTCAACATGATGTACATAGGCTTCACAAGAAGCCTATGTACATCATGTTCCAGGCACTAAACCTCTAGATGTATCCACTCTTTCAGTGAACAAGCCCTGTAGTTATTAACAATGTTTGCACATTGTTAAGGGTCCCTACACCTAAGCAATTCTAGTCCATCTATTGGATGGGTAGTAGAGCAGGGCTCTGAAAAAGCCAAGCCAGGGAAATCTGCAGGACTGCCTGGTCCCCTTCTATGAAATGGGGTAGGATCAGTACAAACTGCATCAATCCCTGCAGGTGGTAACAGTAGGACTTTGGTACACATCTATAAATGGACTAGATAAAAAGAAAGCAAGTTAATTATTTGATATAGCTAAAACATTTATTCAACATACCAGTTTATTAGAATGTGCAGAGTAGAACAGCCACACTTCTTAAGCCAGTAAATTCCTAGATGCCATCATAATCTTCATTACCACCTGAAACATTTAACCTAATTAGCTTATAAATCTTGTATTACAAGTTGCTTTGCAAACTCAAATGGCTAATGTTCCTTATAATGTTAACATTTTATTCTCACTAATGCTAATCTAGCAAAAGATTTAGATATGGCTACTCAAATCATTTAAGTAACAAGTTTAAAGTAGAGAAAGATAAATTTTACTTTACATTATCTACATGCAACCACTCATGCCTTATTTTTCTATTTAAAATATTCACCAACACTTACCCCATTCTGAATGTCAAGCAATCAACACCTTCAAACTCTACGATGAACAGCTGGACTTCCCAATTCTTATTCTGAAAGAAAAAACCTATTTAAACTAGTTACATTAAAAAAAATATGAGGTACAGTTACTAGTCAATATTTAATTTGTCTCTTGTACCATTATTTTTTGTTGAACTTTTAATTAAAAACAAATCCATGAGGTCAATTTACCTCCCTGTTGCAATTTGTTTACAATGTCATGGTACATCTGCAATCTTCTGACATTTGAACCCTCATCACAGCCCTTGTGGATTTGGTCATTTGATGCATCACACTATTGGGTGTGCAATTTATAGATGAAAAACTTTTAGCCAATTATTTAAGAACTAAGTAACTTAACACAAAGTTAAGCAAACCAATTACCATTTAAATCAATATTTCTAAATACCCTCAATTATTACATTGAATAAAATGTAAAGTGACCATTTTAACAATTTCTTTATGCTATTCAAAACAATTCCTGCAAGGACTAAACTTTATTGTACCCACTTGTCACCCCAAGAACAGTTTTTATCCCCCATTTCCAGGCCCGTTCAATTTTTACCTAAATATTTAAATACTACTAATTATAGCAGTAAACTTAACTCTGTCAGAATGATAGAGGGCAAAAGTATCTTGGCAATTTCAG